CTCACCCCCTCTTCACAGCAGGCTGGGATCCATCTCCTTCTGAACTTCTCTCCGGGCCCTTCCTACCCTCTGATCACTAGATTGTAACTTTTATAAATCTGTGCAGTGCCATGGTCACAATTGTAAACGCTCCAAGCTTACTGCTCAGAATTTTAACTCTAATAATTATACTCCTCAGGGGTCTCTAGGTGGACCCCTCTGCAGGTCTTTCACTCTGCCGGGTTCCAGCCAGTTTCCCCACTCCAAGTCAGAAGAAGCAAAAAAAGTGTTTATTTAGAAGGCGTACCTGTGCGGAGACCACACACGTGCAAAGCAGGCTGTCTCTCTGCTGTCCTGTTTGAAAGCAGACACATAGGGAATATATACCTTTGGCTTTGGAATTTACACTTTGGGAGCGGGGAGTTCACATATAGATGTTTCGCATTAACTCAAGCTTCAAGGTGACCACAGGAAACAACGAACTATCGACAGTAAGTAAGCAAACGGAACCATAGGTCAGGCTCTGCATGTCTCTGCTGGCTTGCGAGCAGGGCCTGGCTTTTAATCGCTAACATTCCTGCACACATTCAGGCAGATAAAGAGAAGACTCTCAGCATTCTCTGGCCCTTTTAGGCGACATCTGCATCTAACTTATCTATCTGCGTTTGACCAATGTAGCGAGTTATAAAAATTCCATGGAGAATTTATGGAGTAAAGTACCTTCGATGAGCCGCATTTTGTAAGGGGAGTTTTGCCAACTATAGTCAGCAAAATAACTTGGCTTCTACCATCTGCCCCTGCCTGGTCCGCTTGTTCTTCTTAATGCCCAGCCTGGATTCTCTGTGTTGCGGGCTGTAGCAGTGTCCATGCTCTGGTCCAGTCAGATTTGTAAGGTAGAGTTGGGTTCATGACAGTGTTGGGGGCAGGATGCATTAAAGAACTAGAGCAGTGGTTCTCCACTTGTGGGTCATGACCCCTTTGGGGGTCGAATGACCCTTTCACAGGGGTCGCCTAATTCATAACAGTAGCAAAATTACAGTTATGAAGTAGCAATGAAAATAATTTTATGGTTGGGGGATGACCACAACATGAGCTGTATTAAAGGGTCGCGGCATTAGGAAGGTTGAGAATCACCGAATTAAAGGAAAGTTGTATGTTTCAATGGTGCTATGCTGTGCCCTGAATGGCTGGTCTCTTCCTTGTGACCCTTCTGTAAGGGAATGTCCAATTGTCTACAGACGAGCCCCTTCTGTAAGGGAATGTCCAATTGTCTACAGACGGGCTTTGGGTCTCTACTCCCCCACCCGACCACCATTCACATTGGTATGATTTTTGTTCTGGGTCTTTGATGCCTGATACCTGATCCCATCGACACCTTGTGCTCACTCAAGCTGGTGTGCTTCGTCCATGAGGGCTTTATTGCTTCTCAGCTAGATGGCTACTTGCTTATCTTCAAGCCTTTAAGACCCCAGATGCTATATCTTTTGATAGCCGGGCACCGTTTTCTTCACCACATCAACTTTTGCGCCCATTATGTCTTCAGTGATCGTGTTGGGAATGTGAACATTACAGAATGCGGGGTTATCAGAACACAGTGTTCTTGCGTTGAGGGAGTGCTTGAGTTGAGGCCCAATATCCATCTGCTATCTTAATACTTAACATATAATTATAAGTACATAGGTCTATTTCCCTATTGTTATATACAAATATATTTACATGTGTACACGCCTGTATTTAAGCATCTATAAATGCCCTTTGTCTCCTAGTTCTTTCCTCTATTTCCTTTTACTTTCCTCTCATTCCAGTATCATGATCGGCCTTCATTGGGGTTTCAGTAATACCTTGCTGTTACATTGCCCTTGATTAAGCCCCACTAGACATCCTACACCCTTCTCTCCATCAATTTTAGTTCACTTGTTGTTCCCTTGCTTTCCACCATTTTTACATGTACAATTCATTGTGTACACTAGACATAGGAACCCTTAAAATAAGGTGACCAGATTTTAACGTTGGTAAAGCGGGACACCATTGATATAACTCATATCCTGGCGAAATAGACACATGGCAGCCGAAAACCGTAGACCCTGGCTTGTCGTGCATTCTTTTGGGACTTTTAAAAACATCATGGGACGCAGGAAAAATTGTTAAAAATCGGGACTGCCCAGCCAAAAGCGGGACGTCTGGTCACCTTACCTTAAAAGCCCTTCATGTGCATTGGGTGGCAAGAAATACAGCCGAGGGTGCTGGCTGGTAAGGCTCTCTCACTCCTAGGATGGCGCACGACAGGGCAGTGTGTGCTTCTGTCATCCGTGGGGTCAGTGTGCATGGGAACCAACTCGATGGCACGAAGCAACATTCGTCTCCGAATGCAATCCTCTTGTGATGCCTGTGCCTTCCCGCAGTAAACCCTTGTCTTGGTAAGACTAGCACCTAGTTCTGCTAACAATATGTGTCCAAAAAAACCTTAAGGAGCCATGGTGGTACCAATGTTCAAGCTTTGGGCTGCTAGTTGAGAGGGTGGCAGTTTGAACTCCCCCCAAAGCTCTGCTGTGAACCAAAAGGCTGATGGATGAAGTTCACCCATTGTCCACTGGGAAGCAAGATGCCTCTGAAAGAGATAGACTCCAGGAAAATCAACCATTGAAAACCCCAAGGGACAGGCGGAGCAGAAAGCCCGATCTTTCCCCTGTGGAGCAGCTGTTGGTGTGGAACTGTTGACCCTGTGGTTTGCAGCCTAGTGCTTAATCCCACCACACCACCCGTGCTCCTTCCCTTCACAGTGCCTGGGACTTATTGGAGGGACCTGGGACCATAAGAAGGTAAGGGGGAAAACCCATCGTCTTGGAGCCAACTCCATCTCAGTGGTGAACCCCAGGTGTGTCAGAGTTGCAGTGAGCTCCGAAGGGTTTTCAAGGCAGGTTTTTTTCCCCAAAGCAGATTCCAGCCTTTTGAGAACCCAGTAACCACCAATGTCCAGCTTTTAGCTTCCCATGACAGCAACCCTGTGCAGCAGCACCCAGGGGAGGGAGTGTGTGTGCAGCCAGAGAGGTTTGGGGAGGAGGGGGACAAATGTGTGAAATGGAGACATGATGGGTGGTGACGCTCGGAGCAGACACTTGGGGCCAGGAGGTGGGTGCAGTTCCTGATAGATGCCAGGGGAGTCACGGCAGGGTGTGTGGGGAATGAGGAGCAGGGCAGGCTTTGAGGAATAGGGCTGGACCCTTCATGACCTGGATGGCTTTGGGGGACCCTAAGCTAAATGAAGTTAGTCAGTCAGAGAAAGACAAATATTGTATGTGACCACTGTTTTGGCAGGGTGGGGGGTAATCAAGAACATGTTTTCATACCCAAAGGAACAGATTTTGATCTATTACGGGAGAGGGGACAGAGGAGAGGGGCAGTAATAGGCTATAGAGTGGCAGGGGGGTCAACAGATTCAGAAGGAAGAGCCAATCTTGTCCCTCACAGCAAAACACTACTGGAGAGCCATAATGACATTTTGGCAAACAAATGAAATCGCTGCTATCTGAATCTATTCTTTAGAATTTTATCATTGTACTTCAGAGCCACATGTTTGCCGATCCCTTGGCTAGAGGGTGGACAGGGGTTAACTTGGGGGGCCAGGGAGGATAATATTCTGTCAGAGGGAGGAGGGGAAGGAGGGAGCACCAAGGGGAGGTGTGGCAAAGTGTTTAACAGATTGACTGCAAAAAACAATATCTGATATGTATCTCCCCACCCCACCAACCCCGCACACGTCATTGACAATAAAAGGAAACAGTGGGGAGGGGAGTCCCGGTGGGCTCTCAGGAGCTGGGGGGCTCCATAGAGGAAGATGTGGCCTTGACTTGGGAGCTGGGGTCCCTGTCCCTAGTGTTTGGGGATCAGGTGAGCTCTAGACCAGATCCTACATCCTGTCACCTTGAGGAGTAGGGACACTAGTTCACACTGGTTCGTGAGTCCTGGGAAGCCAGGTGTTTGATGTGTGCCACACCAAGAGGCGGCCCTTACATGGACATAAATACAGACTCCCTCCGATGGCCGTACTCCCAGGGATGGCAGCTCCTACTCCACACCTGGGGTGGGGGTCGTTGCCGGTTGTGGTTGAATCCATTCCAACTCAGTGACCCTGTGTGCTAGAGTGGGTCTGGCCGGTGACCGTTCTCTAAATGGGAACAGACCGCCAACCCTTTTCTTCTGTGCTGCTGTTGAGTGGATTCGAACTGCCAATGTGTATGTTAAGCAGCTGGGCACAAATGGCTTGCTTCACTCAGGGACCCCAAATGACTTGCCAACTGACTGACTTTAGCCCGGAAGACACAGACTTGGCTGGAAGCCCACGTCATGGAAAGGTCATGTGAGCCTTGTTGGGGGAGTGGGGTGGGGGTGGGAGATGGGTGTCAGCCCTGCGCTCTGTAGATGCGGACCTCAGGAGGAAATGAGCAGCCTGTCCCTGGTGTCCTCAGGGACCCCTGAAAAAGTGCAGTGACTGTCTTGTGACATGGGCTCCACGTCCACGGCTCTGCAGCGACCCTCCCTTGAGACAATTTGGTCAAGACTGTTCTAGAAGCGCCCAGGAGGGACAAACAGCCTCTGCTTCCTCCCAGAGTTAAAATAGACAAAAGGGGTCCGGAGAGAGCCAGAGGGACAGCGGCAACCTCTCTGGGCGAATCCAAACCATAAGCTTTAATCCAGTCCGTCTAAAAAATACCCACTGGAAGTGTCTATTTTCAATGGAGTCCCCTCCCTCTGGGGGTGGGGGGGTGGGTGTTCGGGAGGCAGGCTGCCGGCCGATTCGCAAAAGCAATCTTTTTTGGGGTTTGTTTTAAGCCGAACCCCCTTTCGAGCTTCGTCCTTGTCCTGGATCCGCTCAGCTCCTTGCATTCTTTCCCTCTCTGTGGAATTCCACAGACAGTAATTAGGGACGGGAGGCCAGCGGGAGGTCAGAGAGCCTTCCTCAGTGAAAACAGGGATTGTTTGCCATGCACAACACTCCCTTTTTTCCTTGTGGTGAATAGGAGGTTTGCTTAGAGCGGATGACTTACGCCTTTCTTACAAGTTAGGCAGCGAGCAAGGAGCTGGGGAACCAGTCCGCAGGCAGAAAGGAGCTAATTGAATCCAGCGTCCTCGGTCCTGGTGGCTTAGGATCCTGAGCTGTGACCGGGAGCTGGCTTGATCATGTAACAGCAGAGGGGCATGGCCCACAAGTACCCTGTCCTCGCTTAGCCAGCCCAGGGGGACGCCGATCTCCCACTGGGGAGGGGTGGGCACGCTGGGCATTTGGCGAACTCGCCCCATCGCCGGCCTGCTCAATGCCGAAACCGGTAAGTGGCTGAGTGTGTTCCCCGGGAACAGAGAGGCTTTTCCTCTTGCTTCCTTTCAGAAATGGCTTGTTGAGTTCTTCAGGGCCGGGGGGCCGGGCGGGGGCGCTTTTCTCCGCTCCCCAGCTTCCTCTAAATTCGACTTTCTTCCTCGACTCCCTTCTCTATGGTGTTACCCTCTGACATTCTTTCCTGGGACCCCCATCCAGTCACCACAGATCAAGTTCGCGGGAGAATGGAAGATGGTAGGGGGGGTGGGGGGCAATCAGGGGGCATAACAGAGAAGGCATGAGGATGAGCGTTCGTTCGGAGCTCAGCTCAGTTCAGGGAGGCTTTGCATTGGGGGACTTGCCCGCGGCGTCTCGGAGAGCTTGTGGTAACTTCTGTAGCTGACGTGTGTCCTTCTATCAACTTGGGATAGAGATAAATGCCACTGACCATGTGGAACCAGAGGTTTGAAGGACGCTTATCCGATGATGGACTGGATTCAAATGAGGCACTTGTGTGACTTTCATAAGCAAATGCTTTTCCTGTTTCAAAGTACCTTCAGGCATGCGTGACTGCCCTACGGTGTTCCCTGCCTGGCTCTCGGGGAGACGCCTGGACTTACTGTTCTTCGCGGCAGTGGTAAATGTTTGGAGTTGAGGGGAGCCGGCTGAACGCCTGTGTTCCTGCTGAGACACAGTGCCAGCCTGAGCGTGGAGTGGTCTCAGGCCAGACCCCAGAGGATTCTAGTTCTCGCAGGTTCTGTTTGATTTGTGACTGTGCTTCGCTAGGGAGCCTTGCAGGACCTGTTTGTGCCAGGGCAGAGTGCAGTGCCTGTCGCCAGCGAGCAGGGACGGCCTGTGAGCGATAGTGACAGGATGCATCTCCTGGGCTGCAGTGCCCATCCGTGATGCTGTTAACTTGGCTCCCTTTTGTCCCTGGCCATCCTGAGCGTAGCTGCGTTGCTGTAAAGTGCCCCCACGTCAGCTCCACGTCTTTCCTATGAGAACACCGCACATGTGTCAAGGACGCACTTGTTCCAAACGAAGCTGAGCGGGAGGGAGGAGGCTCCACCCTCCTTCCCAGGCCGAATGGGCCCCTTGCTTCCTCACGCAGCACCCTGGCAGCCGAAAGGGTACGCTGTCTCTTTAAATCGGCTATAGTTTTGTGCCTTGGCTTGGCCAATTTGTTATGGTTTAAAACTGTGGAGCCAGCTGTCTGCAATCTGATGTAATGTTGCCGTGGAAACCAGAAATGAAACACTTCAGCATTCACCACAGAATTATTACATATAGCACTAGCCAAAGTAATTCAAAGCTGAGCCATATGGGTTTTCTGGTGGGAGGAAAAGCAGAAGCCTGCAGTCGAGTGGCTGGGAATCCCAGTGACAGTCTTATAAACCTACTTGCCGCATCCTCTGGTGGAATGTGCTGCCTTTTGCTGTGAATGGCGCACAGGTGGGGGCTTTATGCAGATGCTGGGGTTCACCTTCTGGCTTCGAACACGATGAACTTCAAATCTATTGAGGGCTACGTCTGTTGGAGGGGAGAGACAAGCAAAACCCAGCTCATGCTTAAATATGCACACGGCATATGCTATTTGAGTTTCTTTAAAACCCCCTCCATAGTCACCCCTCCCTCTTCTATACAGTGCTAAGTTCGTTCACTTTCTGCCAGGTGGAAAGATTTCTCTAGAAACATGAGTGATGTATCGATGGAAAGATGGAAAAGTGATAGGAACTTTGCATTTCCAAGTGTTTAAAACCTTTTCCCACACCCCCAGACCTGAGTGTATTCCATAAATCAAGAGCCCCCCACAAGGTGTAACTAACTGATAGCACCAGGGAACCAGGAGAGTCAGAAAGTGAGGAATTTAAGTTTTTCTCCCCAGTTTAAGAGTCATAGGTGCCATTCACAGCATCTTTATGTTAAAACAGCTGGAGTCAATTTTTGAAAGACAAATATTTCACAACTCTCTCTCTCTCTTTTTTCCCCTGGGGTCTGGGGTGGAAGTGAGAAGTCAGCACCTTCTCCTGCAGGAACACTCTTCCTGGGGCTGCACTGCTGCGCTCCGGTGGCCTCTAGCCTGGGTGAAGCGGAAACTCCACTCACTCACTCACTCACTCACTCACTCACTCACTCACTCACTCACTCACTCACTCACTCACTCACTCACTCCGTTCTCATCTTACACTTCTCAGCATCTGTGTTGCCTGGTGTCCAAAAAATTGAAAATGCAGTGTCCTGCGGTTGCCATGATTTGGGAAGGGTCAAGGCTTCCAAAACTTCCTTTCATTTATTTTATAAGAACAATTAAAGCCACATCAGCTCAAAGTTCTACACAGCCCAGTTTCTCCAACGTCGGCGGCCCATGTGGAGGCAGCAGAATATATATATCCCTGCAGTGATTGTGAGTGGAGGAAAGTGGAACTGTGTGAGGTGACCGTTGTCCTGGATGCTCTGTCGTCCTCAGTTCACTAGGTGGACCTCACCCTGGCGAGGCCACTCTGCTGCCCCACCTTTCTAACTCGGATTGTGTCTCTGTGGGCGGAGGTTTTTATTCTACTTCTTTCTATAGGCCATCTCTCTTTTTGCCTGAGGGCCACAGACACCAATGGTCTCCCCTGTGCAGGACAGGGATGGCCTGTGTCTTGATCCTAAGTGGACTGTGCCGACCTCGTTTTCACTTGAACTAAAAACACACGTCAGGTGAGGATTCCGCACATCGTCCAGGCTCATCAGTCGTGTGTATACCACAAGGCTGCCGCGAGCTGTTGGCCCTCCTTCAGTGAGAATCGCCTGGCAAACCAGTGCCACGTGTGTGTCATTCCACGCAGAATGGGGGCTGCGACCAACTCCTCATTCCCCTGGCTGACCGCTCTACCGCACCATACATCAGCACTTCAACCACGTGAAAATGAAATTCAAGCCAAACAAGACGTGTATATTCGCAGCTGCACTTCACATGCAGCCTCCAGTCCCCATTGTCTAGAGTCCCCAGTGTTTGTGCTTTACTATCTAGCAGTCAGGGTGGGGGCCAGCCCTAAGCCTATAGCCAACATGCCCACTCTGACTCATGGCCTCCCAGTGCGTGCAGACCAGGTCAGGGGGTTAACCTTTGCTGTAATCTGTGCAGAAGCAGGGAGCCAGCCCTTTCTTCCACAGCACTGCAGAGTGAGTCAGAACTGCCAACCTGTAGGCTAGTAGTGGAGTGAAGTTGTTTGTCCCTCCCAACTATGATTAATCTTCATTTTGAAAAGGACACAGAATTCCTTAGCTCGAAACTTGTGAGCCATTGGGGCACAGGTACATGTCACAGAGAAGAAGGCGGAGGAAAAGCCCTGTCCCGACGACATTGCCAGTGCTGGGTTTACGGTGACTGTTCTGCAGTGGGTAGAATGGTCACTGGACCGTGGCTCCTGCTGTTAGCCACGGGCTGGGAAGCAACCACGAAGACCATACACACCCATGTGAAGGGAGCCGGCGTTGACTCTTGGCCCAGAGAGTCATCATGGGCATGGCTATTCAGAGGTGGAGCACCACCCCTTTCTTCCAAGGTACCCCCTTGGGAGGGTCCAACCCCCCAGCCTTCCAGTAAGCACCGATGTGCTTACTGAAAGTCAACTGCTTGCACCAGCCAGAGACTCAGAGGTTGGGGACAGAATCCCCGAAACAGGCGCTGCCTATCCCTTCCACAGGTCTGCTGGGGCTAAGAAAATCTTTGCACCATTTTTATGTCTCAGTTGTGCCCTCCCCGACCCCGCCCGTTCGTGACTTGAGTTTTGCTAACCCCTGTCTGTCTCTTTTTATTGCTTATAAAAGTGGGATTCTCGCAGGGTGGTTTGGAGTGGGTCCGTGCACCATCTCTCTCCTGGCACGCTTTCAGCGAGCTGGGCTTAAGGAAGCGGAGCACACACTGGTGTCAGGAAGTGAAGAATTAGAGGGAGTCTTGGTCTGGGCTCCTACCGGGCTCGCGCTCCTGGATGGCTCGTCCGGTGGGTCAGCAGTGCGCGTGCGCTCTCCGCGCTGGCAAAGCCTTGGGCTTTTGCACATTTTGAACAGATACAGCAGAGGAAGCAGCATACTGCATAGTGGCGCGGACTTGGAAGGGAAAGCGTCATTTTGTTCACAAGGAAAGGATTGTTTGAGCCTGGGTCCACTGCCGCTGCAAGAGAATTTTTCCTCTCTTTGTAATGTTTGATGCTTGAGGGAAAACAGCTGGGCCCGCGCACGCCGGAGCCGCTGCAGAGCGGAATTGGCAGCCGGGGGAATATGGACTGTGCTGTAAGGCTCTAAAGGTCAGCTTTTTCCCTTGTCCCTCTCCGCGGAGCGCAGGCTCTGTCCTGGGGCCCGCCCGCCTGGTGAGCTTGCCGAGAGAGAGGGAGGCGGAAGGGATGGCTGTGATGTGGCAGCCGGGTCCCAGCAAATGGGATAGAAGCAGCTTTTTTTTTTTTTTTTTTTTGCCTCTCTTCCCCTTTCCTGCCCCGGCTGTTTTTGATTTCGGGAGGCCTGGAAAAAGTCAACAGAGTTTGGGTTTGGAGAAGTGGCTGATCACCACGTCAAACGGCAGGGCCTGATGGGCCAGGCAGATGAGCGCCTGGCCCGGACTGCGGCCGCATAGCTGGACGCACAGGGCCGGCCTGGGGGTGGGGGGCTGGGGGTGCTCAAGGAGGCATGGAAGTCGCCGAGGTCCATTGCCCCCTGTGCACATCGGAAACCAGGAGCCGTTTGGTGGGGCGTAGGACCTAAGTGCACCCTGAATTAGGCGTCACCATGGTACGTGGAGCCTTGCGAGCCTGCTGGGGGCGGTTTGGGCTGCTCCCAGTGCAGCTGTGGCCCAGCCAGGTGCAGGCGGGCCCCTCCCAGGCCGCCTGGGGCCCAGGTGGGAGCGGTTATCTGATGAACTCTCCCTCTGTTTCTTTGCCAGTCAAGAGAGCCTTCGGATGAGGAGACGGAGGAGTCGGTGAAGTTTAAGAGGCTGCACAAGCTGGTAAACTCCACGCGCAGAGTCAGAAAGAAACTCATTAGGGTGGAAGAGATGAAAAAGCCCAGCACTGAAGGTAACCGAGACCCGACCCTACCCCATAATTACAAACTCGGTTGTTGGAGGGGGTGCACCCCCCCCACCCCGTTCTGTGGGGAGGGGAGAGAAGGGTGAGTGCATGCCAGTAGGGTGATGCTAGCCAGGCACATTAGGGATGGCACCTTCCAGAAGCGGAGCCGTTTCAGTGTTCCAAAGCAGGGAGATGGCTCGGATGGGGCAGCAAGTCTTCCTGAGGAATGTGGCCCAGCTTCCTTTCCACTTAGACCGTTTTATATAAACTTCCTATTCCGGTTGCTCGTGGAGTCAGTAAGCCTCAGCCCTCCAGAACTACGGCTCCTGCCCAGGGACTTGAGCGCTCATCTGACATGCATCCATCTCGAACCAACCTCTCACGGCATAGCCCTGAGAGCATCCGCCCATCTTGGAGGGACCGTTTGTTACCCTGGTGAGCAGTCAGGACCTCCTAGTCTCAGTGCCTTTCCAAAAGCGCTGTGTAGCCTGAACCACTTGTCAAAAGAGCCCCGAGCTGGGGTGTACCGTAATGAAGCGTTAATAACCTTCTAAATATAATTTTGTCTGCTTAAGGGTCACCTAGTCATCTCTCTCACTGTCAGGAAGGGGCTGTTACAGCCCCCTGTAAGATTCTCAGCACCCCCCAGACCTCCCAAAACAAACAGTCAATTCTAAAATAAAAAGTGTACCATCCTCCTATTTGGATTTGATTGTAAGCGGGCTGGGGGAGGGCCACTAGGCTTTGTCTGTCTTTCTTTTTTAATGCACACTACGTCTGCTTATGAGACCTCTACACGGAAAGGAGTTTCAGGTGTCAAACGTGCAAATTTTCAGAGGCCTCCCTGTGAAGGCCTTTGGTTGTGCATGAATAGAGGCCAAGCCAGGGCAGAGAGCCCAGCGGCCTCTTGTCTGCCGAGAGGCGGGCTTTCTGCTCGTAGGCACCTTGTGTGGTGATTGTCAGTGTGAAACTCCTGGAGGAAGAGGAGGGGGGAGGGGGAGGGGGCTGCTTCACGGTCAGCGCGTGAACTTGGGTGTTGGCTCTCATGGACGACCCCTCACGACTGCGTGAGGTGCTGTATTCACAGCGGGAGGCGGTGATGTTTGTCGGTCTGTCTTGTCCTGTTTGCCACAGTGTTGGGCACGACTTCTCCCCCTCCCCCTGTGGCCCCTTCCTGAGGCCGCAGGCAGTGTCTGGTGGCAGCGTGGGAACATAGCACAGTGTGCACAACCTTAGGGACCCGTTTTCCAACAGATCTCAGATGCTTGCTCGAGTCAAACAAAGAATGGTATGCAGATTGGGGGTCATAGTACATAGTTGAAAGGAAATGGGCAAAGTACCTCACAGCCTGTCCCCCCACCCCCACCAAGTCTGGAGGCCTTCCATATAATGAGCGCTTACATATAGTGATCCATTGGGACAACGTCTCCACTCAGGCATATTTTTAACAATGAGGCAGTGTCTAACTTGCATATTCAGGGCAGAGAAAATTCATTCAACTCCTTCTAAGTGGCATACCTGGGGGTTGGGAGGGGCTGGTAAGACCAAGAGACTTCTGGTTACAAGTTATACTAAACGCATGGCCCTCTGGCTGAGAATGTTGAGTCCATCTGGTATGGATGAGGGTTTACCTGAGGAGGAAGGGTTTAGTGACCTGGGGTCCCAAGTTATACCCGCAGCATCTGTGAGTCATGGTAGGTGCGTTTGGGACACACCTGGCCAGGCCTGTGCATCTGTGTTTCCAGGAGAATTTCCAGCGTACAGGAAACTCAGGGGGTCTGCTTTAAATGACTCCCCAACACTTGGCCACATTGCAAACTGCCTCTTCCCCTGCAGGCTAGGGCTTGCAGGCCCCTCATTGGCAAAAGAATTGTTATTGGGGAGAGAAAAACCGAGCCCCAGCGTCTGCAAAGCACGAGCCCCTCTTGCTTAGAAAGAGTCGATCCCTGGACTTCCTGCCTGTCTGGTGATGACGACCATTTCCTGAAGACATTCTGTGTGCCAACTATTTTAGAAAAGTGCTCTAGGGTTTTTGTTATCTTTTATCATCTAATCCCTGCAACAGCCTTCTCCTTTTACAAATGAGGAAACGTAGGCACAGAGAGGTTAAATAATTGACTCCGAGCTCACCCGCCACCCAGCCAGGGATGCAGAATAAAGTCTAAGCTGTCTGATTCTTCCACGGCATCTTGTGTCTCCAGCCCCACGCCCAGACCAGGTTCTTCACCCAGGCTCTGCTGCCACGGAGTGCCCAGTCTGTGCCCTGGGCAGGGGATGCCCCTGGACCAGACTAGAACAGCAGGCCAAGTCTCTGCCCTGTCCCTGGAGCATACATCCTCCCACCCCTCCCTGAGCCTGATGCACAATCGTTAACTTTTGCTATGCCTATCTTTTTTCACTTAACTTCCTTTTCACAATCACTTTGTAGGGGATATTGCTAAGCTAAGTCAAGACAAAAACTGTCCCATCAAGTTGTTCGTTCATTTCAACTCGTGGCGAGTTGACCCCGTGTGTGTCACACCCCACGCACATGTGGGCTCTTCCGTGGGGTTCCCAGTGGCTGGCTTTTCAGAACTGTGCTGCCCGCCTTTCTTCCCGAGGGCCTCAGGGTGGACTAGAACCCCCGACCTTTCACTTAACAGCCAAGCACATGAAGGGTTGTAGCACCAGGGACTGGATTGTTAAACTGTTATTCACTGTTGAGCGACGCCTTGAGGCAGGTGAAAAAGCACAAGCTCACAGGATGATGTTAAGCGCCCAAGGGCAAAGAGCTGGAGAGACCGGGCTGGCCCTGGAACCCAAGGCAGAAATCCATGTTCTTGGCCCCAGAGCCACGCCACTTTGTACCTTCCCGCTCCTGCCCCCCTCCCTCTCCTTCAACCCCTTGAATAGGGTGGATAGGAAGCCTCTGAGCCAGGCCTCCTGGAGAGGGAGCATCTTGCTTGTCATTCTTCACATCAGAGGCGGATGGGAGTCTTCAGGATCAAGAGAGTTAACATGTGGGCTAGAGGTTCTGGCCACAGGTCAGCCGCAGACAGGAGGGCCAGCACTCCGTGTCAGGCCTGCTGCCATTGTGGCGATGCAGCCTCTTGGAAGCATCGGCCACATCCCCTTCTGCCTTCCTTGCCAGATGCTGACTTCCCAGAATCAGGAAGCAGAGCCCTGGCCACACGTCATGTTCATGTGTGCACCATCTGGCTCCTGCTCAGAGGGACACGAAGCACTGGGATCTCTGGTGACAGGAAAGTTCCAGCGAGAGGACCCACCTGACTTGCCCCACCCCTTAGGACCCTGGAGAGTTAGGGGCCTTCTACTTCCTGAGATACCTGGGGGGAATCTGGCTATTTGCTGCCTCTGCCGCCAGGTGGCGCTTCCCCGCTTGGCCCAGCCCCTCTGTTCTGGAAGTGTCCTGTGGACATGATCTGAAATTGAATGCATTTTCTCATAATGCAGGGGCCATTGGTCTTCCCTTGTTGTTCTGGTGGCCTGCGGACGGTGAGGGTGATTTTCATGATCGTTGCAGACACTTCTGGTCTGATGAAGACCTGTCAGAAGCCTGGTCTCCCACTTTTTAATTCAAGAGAAAGATCCCCAAGCAGTTGGCCAGCAAATGTATTTATGTTGCAGCTGAGGGAGAAGCTTTTTGTTCACACCTCCACCCCAGATTGTATTGCCATAAAATATATGTAGCATGTAAATTGCCATTTTAACCACATTTTGTACAGTTCGGTGGCATTCCATGTGATCGCAATGTACAGCCTCCATCACGGTTCACTCCTGAAAGTTTGCAGTCGCCGCAAACAGAAACTGCACCCTTGAGCGACGATTCCCTAATCTCCCGCTCTCTCCAGCCTTGGGTCACCCCCGTGGAGGTCTTGTCTCTTATGAATGGGCCTGTTTGAACTATGTTGTATAAATGAATGCATACAGTATTTGTTCTTTTGTGTCTGACCGACTGGCTTCATTCAGCCGACTGTCTTCCAATACATCAGTGTCATTACTGAATGGCTGAATAATGTTCTCTCTTATGGATTTACCACCTTTCGCTCTCTTTCATCCATCAATGGATGCTTGGGATTTTCCCATCTTCTTTGGCTAACGTGAATGTTGCTGTCATGAACGGTGGTGTGCAAGTGTCTCTGTGAGTTCCTGTTTTCATGTCTTTAGGGCAGACAAGGGAGCTTCAAAGAGTTGGTAGTAAAAACAGAATCGAGAGCTAACAACTTTTCTCTGAATCTTTGAAGCACCCTTATACCTAGGATTAGAATTGGTGGGTCATACGGTAGTACAAGGTTTAACTTTTTAGAAACCATATGCTGACATACCATTATTCGAACCAATTTTTCACAAATGTTTTACTGTAAATTCGGTGGCCATCGAATTACAGAGCAGACCATCACTCTTCTTCGAGCAACGCACACACCTTTTGTTCCAACTTGTGCAGCACCATTGCCTCCATGTCCCTGGCTTATTTCATTCCCCCGTGTTTCCTACTTCCCTCTCCTAACCTTCTGAACTTTGCCCTGGGGTCGGTGCTACCCTCCTGGTCTTAATTGGTTGATTCAGTGAAGGAGTGGAGTTCCATACCACAGAGGTGACGAACAGCTGCTGTTTTGGGGGTCCTGCCAGTTGCTTGCGGACCTGTGAGCCTGGCTTGTTTGTATGATTTTGAGCCTTGTCCCTTCTGCATTTACCTCCCACACTAGCCAGGACCTTCCAGTGTGAGCCTTTTCAAGCAGTTGGTCATGGTAGCCGGGCACCCTCTAGTTCTTCCTTGTCTCAGGGTGGTGGAGACTGCTATGTGTCTGATCCCCCTAGTCTGTTGCACTAATTGTTTCTACACGCCTTTCCATTACAATCTCTCTTCTTTCCTCTGGGCAGGGAGAGACCAGTGGTTGGCCTTCCAATGCTTGCTCAGGTGTTATTTGATACCCCACTCAATACTCACGAGAGGAGGGTGTGGAATACCACCTTTGTGAGCTGTGTTATACTAATTGGCCTGGATGTCTCCCAAGACTCATTCTCTCAAGGTGTTTGGTTGTGTAACTTTGCTCCCTGTATGTTGCTCCACATTCATGGGTAGAATTGCAGCAAAGGTAAATAAATACACAGACGCAGATATTCTCTGTCAAATCTATCGCTATTCATGGGTATTCTCCCAGTCTCCTGCCCACACCTGTTCAGGCTACCTGTCTAACCTGGCGACCCTCTAACCGGGCACGGTCTTAGTCTCTCTCCCTGCTACCCTCCCCCAACCCCCCAGCCCATCTCCTCAACCTGAACTTAAAGTTTTGTGTTGGACTGTATGTAATAGCCTCAGGTTTCCCTCTTTCTGTTTGTGATGATAACTTCCATCATTCGGATGGTTACGGAATGTGTAGCATCTCAAAGGCTTGCCACCATCCCGACACGCCCCCTGCTCCTCACCTTCCTCTCCAGCACAGGCCCAGCTGCTAGGTGGAGGCCCGCCCTTTCTTCTTCCAAGGAAACATTTCATTTTCCCCCTTCTTCCCAGCTCAGCTGGCAGCGAGCTGCCGGGCTGAGAAGTTTCCTCCTGGCGAGCGGGGCAGAGCCAGTGCAGATCCCCCCCGCCCACGGCTTGACCTACTTCTCTGCTCACATCTGTTCACAGAACCCAGGCAGAAGAGTGCTGGGCTTTCCTGGCAGCAAGTCCAAACCTTTCTGCTGGGCTCCAGAGGGCTGGGTTCAATACCGGGACCGGGAATCAGGAATGGCCTCCGAGCTGGAATCTGGAGGGTGGAGCCCAGGCCTCCGAAGCTCTGCCTGTGTGCAGAGAGGCCCTTAGACGCCCCGGCTGCGTCCTGGCAGGGCCCCAAGGGCTGGGCCTGTCTGGCTTGGGTCACCCCGTTCTCCAGCTCTCTGTGTTTGGCCTCTCACAGGAGACATGCGCAGCATACAGCCCTTTGTGGCCTTTCCACACCCACACTCCCTTGGCAACTTAATCACTTGAAGGGCACACGGACTAATAAAAACATGCGTGTCAGCCTCGTGGCATCTGCTGCAGTCCAGCTACAAAAAGCCAGCCTTCCAGAAGGGGGAGACTGTGTGCGGGGCACGGTCAAGCCAGGGAGGGTACTTCTCTTTACCTGGGAAGGAGCAGCCTGATCATGCCTGGCTTTCCTGTTGCCCGTGGCGTTTTTAGTGGTTCTGTGGAGGGGTTGCAGACGACTGAGGGTTAGAGAAGAAAGCACACCCGAAACCACTCAATGCTGAGCTCGTGGGGAACCCTCCGACGGCACCATGATATTTCCATGGGAGCAGGGTTTGTGACAAGGGGTAGGCGTCCCCTACGCAGTGTACAACTGGCGGCTATCCAAAAGGGGGGCATTTCAGATCCACCACGTGCCACGGCAGAGGGTGGGCCCGTGCTCTGCTCTCGTGAGGCTTCCATGCACGCTCACTGCTGACAGCCAACCTGACCCTCCAGCCCTGGCAGGGTTCCTGGGTGGCAGTCTGTATGGAAGCACCAGCCTTCCATTAGCAGCCAGCACTCAACCACTGCACCACCAGGCTTTCCGCATAGAGGTGAAAGCCAGGAAAACCCAATAGAGCAGTTCGACTCTCTGTCGAGCGGGGCCACCTTCGGTCCGATGCGAGGGGCAGCAAAATATGTGTACGCACTGTGATTTTGGAGACATTTACCACAGCAAAGCAGGTTCTTGTGACTCACTTCTGAACATGGTATTTGGGAAACCTGGGGGCGTTTGGGGAGAAGCATTGGGCTGCTAAGCCCAGGCTGGGCAGTGCAAAGTCACCGGTCCCTACATTGGCGAAAGATGAGGCTGCCCGCTTCCATACAGATGTACAGCCTCAGCAACCTTCACGCCACGCCGCCCGTCCTGGAGGGTGGCCACCCTTGGGAAGGGACTGGAGGGTCGGGGTGTGGTTTTGCCGTCATAATACTGCTCCATGACGGGGGGCACACTTTGCACAGGACGGCCGCCACCCCGTTATTTCTCTTCTGGTGATTTCTGTTTCCCTTGACCTCACTTCCTTATCCCCCTTAGCTTGTGTCCAAGGTGCCTGCTGACCACAGGGTCCAGTGTTCAGAAGAGCACAGGGCAGTTTTCAAGCCCGAGTGGCTCATTATCTTAATGTGCCGGTGGCATGGGCAGCCTGGACACCATTTGACACATGGCACCTTGAATAGCTCTGTCGAAGGATTTCATTCTTTCCAGAGAATGGCATTCATGTGTGTTTGCCTTACGGCCTATCCTCGTTTGGGAGCCGCTCTGAGTCCCATGTGTCAAGACTGGCAGTCAAAGGTTCCTCCAGTCTCCTCCGGGCCAGTCAGTCTGACCTTTTTATAGGCATCTGCCCAGGACCACCTGTCATGTGCCTGGTCTGAATGGTTGGTAGTGGAAGCCGGGCACCATCTAGTTCTTTTGGTCCCATGGTCTATGAGGGCATGGTTCGTGTGGGTCCTGTAGAGGAGTTTTGCTCTTGGCAGTAGTTGCTGCGTGGGTGTGAGCATTTCTGTGTTGGTTCTCCTGCAGGTGGGGAGGAGCACGCCTTTGAGAACTCCCCAGCCCGGGAAGAAAGACCCGTCTTGTACTCAGGCGTGCACAAGAAGCCATTCTTCTTCGACGGCTCCCCTGAGAAGCCTCCTGAAGATGATTCGGACTCCCTCACCCCCTCTCCCTCCTCCAGCAGCCTGGATACCTGGGGGGCAGGCCGGAAGCTGGTCAAAACCTTCAGCAAGGGAGATAGCCGGGGCCTGATTAAGCCCCCCAAGAAGATGGGGACCTTCTTCTCCTACCCAGAAGAAGAAAAGGCCCAGAAGGTTTCCCGCTCCCTCACGGACGGGGAGATGAAGAAAGGCCTGGGGTCCCTGAGCCACGGGGTAAGTACGGATAGCGTTTGCTTCTATGACAGCCACAGGTGCAGGCACCACCTGCTCGTGTCCCTAGAGGAGGTTCAGAGTGTCCGGAAGCAAATCCGCTTGAAGAAAATGGATACTAACTATTCATGTTCCAGAACTTTTCTCTGCCAGCGCCCCGCCAGAAAAGGCATGACCAGCTCTGCCTGGGACCTGCAGCTGCCCCGGCAGAAACCCCGGGCAGGGGGCGGCTGCGGCCTGCCCAGCCGGAGGGCGCGCGCGCGCACCTCTGTCAGCGAGTTCAATATCACCTACGTGGTGGAGCGGAGTCTGTACAGCCACCTGAACCTGACCCAGCTAGTGCGTCCCGCCTCAGACAGGAGCCTGAGCAAGGCCAAGAAGCAGGACCTGAGGCGGTGCTTGCTGGAGGAGGAGGCGGAGGCAAAGAGGAAGTGGGCAGCCACCGTCGACCGCTGTACTAAAAGGGTTCTCTTGAGAATCCACCAGAAATCTGTGAGTCCACGGCTGCGGTCGTGAGGAAGTGGCCTTGTCATCTCTGTGGGGCGCAGGCAGGCAGCGTGGCCTTTCTCGGCCCTTGAACCTGTGGCCCGGGGGCCCATCCACCGCCACCCCCCTCCGTGCCATCCCTCTTTCATTTAGCCATGGCCTCCGCCTTTCGTTTACCATTTGTCATCTGGGCCCAGGAGGTGGGTGGGTTTTTTTTGTTTTTTTTAATGAAGACGGAACATTGACGCAGGTCCAGGGAAGGAATCCCGGGGTACTAGGTGGGGGTGGGTGGTGGCCGCCTCAGGACGGGCTGCGTGATGCCCAGCCATCTCGCCCCTGACGTCACAGAAGCTGGTTTAAAACAGAAGGGTGGCTTTGCCCTTAAAGGGGTGCTTGGTCTTGCTGTTCATTGGAAACAACAGGATCAAGCTCATGGAAAGCCTGATCCCCACAATTGCCTATTCGGTGGTCTGAGAGCATTGTGGAGCGCGTTTCTCTAATCACTTGGGAGAAGGAGGATGGAACTGGCATCTAAATGGGGGGGGGGAAGTAGAACGCTTGGGCTTTTCTTAAGTCTATCGGATTCACCATTTTTTCTTAGCACAGGCATCAGCGTTTAGAAATGCCCCCAACCCCCTTCTACCCGCTCCACCCTCCAGACTGTTCTGTGCAGAGTAAGGAATGAAGTGCTTACTAACAGATAGTGTAACAGTCATCTTTGTGATTCTTATTGAAGCTGGGCTTCTAAGGTGCAGCTTATTTTGAACTCAAGAATATGCATCTTTTTGTCCCTGAAACGCCTACCCCACTTTTAGCCCATACAACAACCCGGAGAAAATGGTACAGGGAAATAACCAGGAACCCTGGCTCTGCTCCCTCCGGGCTCAGCCCACTCGGGGTGACCGCTGGGAGCCCCTTTGAAAGGGCTGGAGGCAGAGTGGGCTCAACACCCAGTGGGGCCTCTCCCCACGTGCCCGCACATTCCTGAAGGGGCACTGCTTCCTGAGATGCTGGCCGCAGTACAGGGTCCCCCACGGGCTGGCAGCTGTGGCTGGAACATGGAGCCTCGGTGGCCAGTGCCATCCTTAAACTAAGCCTTTCTGCCTCGAAAGGACTGAAGCAGGTCCTTCCCAGCCCTCGGCTTTTCCAAACATTTCCACAGACCTCAACGGTCTGCCTACGTCTCCCCCACCCCCATCTTTGCACATTCACGTAAATCCTCCAGCTCCGTTGGTTTGGAGCAAAGCCTTTCTTCTGGTTCCTTCCGTCTGCGGGGAGCCGTTTGCGTCTGGATTGGGTGGGTTTTCTCTGTCTCACTCCGTCCGCCTCTCGTCCTCTGACTCGCAGATCGTTGGTCAAGCTTTGGTGGCTCACCAGTCTCAACACAAGTTGGTTTTGCTTTTCAGTAGGCTTTGGTGGGTTGGTTTTTTTCACCCCTAGGCAGGTTCCTCTCACTCTTCCTCCCTGGGTACCTTGAGCACTGACCCCTTCTCCACTTGATTGGGAGGCTCGCCCCCATGTGTTCAACTCAACTAACAACGTAGGTTTTCCCACTTCAAGTGCTCCTGTATCCCTCATGCCACAAACTGCCAGACTGGGACTCCAGCCTCGTCAGGATCTCTGCTCCAGAAGGGACTTTTCTGAGTTGACACTAATGAACACAGTGGCCCAGGGACATGGAGGGTAGTCATGCAGACCACCTCGTTTGCTTTCGGAGCACTGGCTTGGCGATGTTTTGTTTCCTCCCCTCATGAAGGTGGAGCTACAAAATCGCCACCCCAGTGATCCGCCTGAGACTGGGGGCTGGAACATCACCCGAGCTTCGGCCGTCCTGGGCACTTGCTGACTCTGTGTTCCCGGTGAAAACGATTCGCTCCCGTTTTTCCAGGAGTGCCACCAGTCAAGCAGCCCTTTGCTGGTCCCGTTTTCCTGCGAGATGAGCAGAAAGCAAGCATTCTTAACCATCATAAAGCACTGCTTCAGCTTTAAAGGGGCTAGCATCTCTTTCCTCGCTTGGTTGAATCGAGACATTCTCTGCCATTCTTCTCGGCGTGTATTTCCTCCATCTCATCCAGAAATACGCCATCTCCCTTCACGGCCAAGCTCAGTCTCTTTGCCGATGCCGCGTTTGCTTGACGAGACCTCAGAAATGACAATGCCCTGCCTTCACCGCGAGCGGTCACGTGCCTCGCCTTTTTCTTTGGTCATTCGATTTGTGTTGGGGGGAAACAGGCATGCATGATGACATTTGGGGGGATGGGGATGCATTTTGTCCATTTTTCCCTCCAGCGTGTTTCCAGCCGCATGCCCATCCCATTGACAGGCCCTCCTCACCCCCCCAGCGTCTCCCTCCAGGGTGTTTAGAGTTAGGCACCTGTACAGGAGCCATGCGGAGGAAACAGCAGAGGCAAGCAAGTTGGTTCTGCTTGGAGTGTTCTCGGTACAGCCAGTGCTCACTGCTGAAGGAGTGCCGCCGTGCGAACTGCCTGACAGGAGGGAAGAGACTGGGGTTTAGTCGCAGGAACGCATTGGCATTCCTTTACTGGTGAAACTGGACCCCGCCCAGCTCCCCAGCAGCCAACAGAGCACCTCAGTGTGCTTCTTGGCCAATGCAGCCCTAGTGTGACCCCCCCAATCACAGCCGGTCTCTCATTTCGCCTGCAGTAAAACGAACATGCTGGGCGCCAGTGCTCCCGAAGCTGCTGGGAGTGGGAAGCAGAGGTTTGCACAAGCCCTGGCCTGGCAAGGCCTGTGGGAGCCCTCCTGCCCCGGGGGAGGCCTATGCCGCAGGAACAGGACTAGAATCAAATCGCCACCTCTGCAACACCAACAAGCTGGAGAGAGACCGCCAACACAGGGACCTTCCTCGTGCTCGTAGAAAAGTGCATTTCTCTTCCGTTTGCTCATGAACTTTGTTCATGAGCCCTTTGTATTAAAGATGAGCCTTGAGGGAGGGTCATAGCCACGTGACCCGGTGAGTGTGTTTCTGTGGCGTCCATGTGGTTGCTAGGTACAGCTAACTTTGTCCCTGTCCCGTAGTGACCTCATGCACAGCAGCACACAACGCTGCCCACTCCTGCTCCATCCCCATGACTGGTGGTGGATCAGACCTTGGGGTCTGTGGCATTTTCATTGGCTGATTTTGTTTTGGTTTTTTTGGTTGGGGGGGTGGGGAGTAGATCACCAGGCCTTTCTTACTAGCCCATCTTAGTCTAGAAGCTCTGCTGAAACCAGCATCATTGCAACACGTAGACCTCCACTGGGGGCTGCCACCTGTGAGGTGCATTGGAGTGAGGATGGCAGGATCAGGCTGGGTTTCATTCGTGGACCCTGAGAATTCTACCACTGAGCCACCAAGGCCACATTGTAGAGATACGCCTAGCCTTGTCCACCGAGGTCCAACAGCCCACGGTCACTGAGTTAGTTCTGATTCAGACGTAGCCCTCTGTCGGGTTTCCAACGCCGTAAATCTTTCCGGGAGCAGTTATCCTCATCTCTCTCCAAGGGAGTTGATGGTGGGTTTGAACTGCCAACGTGTGGTTCACAGCTCAAAGCTTACCCAGCAGGGCCACCTGAGCTCTGGATGTCCATTCACAGTTACTGTAAGACTAGTTATATCCCATTAAAGTATATCTCTGTTAGGTTCTTTATAACAGCAACCACTTTAGTCATAAGAAGCACAGTTCTGTGACAGCCTGAGCCCTGCTTCCCCGATGCTGTTTGGTGTCTTTGGCCATTTGGCTTCCACCTCCTCTCCCTCTTTGGTCCATTCTTGGGTTGCATTAGTTTTACCAGCGAAGCTTCCAGAACATGAGGCACGGGGGTCTAACCCTCCCTTGCTTATTTCTAATATCACTGCATTTAAATACAGCCGCCCGCAGGAAGCGTGCAAGAGGCTTTCAGGTGCATGAGATGGGTTTCGTCTTCCTGCGGGAAAGCCTGAGCTCAGAGACCTAAGCCCCTTGCCCATAGTCGCACAGCCAGTGAGAGGCAGGCCTGCCCTGGGGTCTGCCCCATGTGATTGCAAAGCCTAGCCGTGTCCCTGCCAGACTGTTTGTCAGCTCAGCTCACACATAGGCATGGGGGGGTGGTGGGTATTTATTCACAACCAGCAGCATTTGGCCTCACTGGACTTTGCTGTTCCTCGCTTCCACTGACTGGCTTCTACAGTGCCTTAAAAACAAAATACGAATATCAGTGCCTTGTCTTCTGTCCACCTTTCATCGGTCGTCCAACGAAGGTTGGCACCCTTTGAGTTCCGAGTTCCACTTAGAGGTGTGTGTTTTCGTGTGTTTTAGCCATTGGACAGAAATTCAGGTTAAGTCCTGCAGATACGAAGTCACCGCAGCAGGAGCAACTCGGCCAGGTTGGGAGCCAGCTCAGGAGGGCCCGGTTCTCATCGTTGATGAAGCATTCCCGTGTTCCCCAGGAGACTAGCCAAAACCAAACTCCCTGCCCTTGAGTGGATTCTTACTGAGAGCCACCAGAGCAGAGCTGTCTCTGCGGGGTTCCAAGACTGTAACTCTGTTCAGGAGTAGAAAGCCTCATCTTTCCTCCCAAGGGGCGGGTGGTGGTTTCCAAACCGCTGACCTTGCAGTTAGCAGCCCAAGGCGTCCGTGATTAAAGAGAGCCACCGACTGGCCCCGTTTCTTGCTGGGGGAACATGGCACCGTCATGTTCTGTGCTCAGAGGAAAGGATCATCCTGTACGAGCATGGGCAGCTGCTTGGGAAAGAGGCCGCTCATTCGGCTAAGACAGGGAGGCACTGCGTGAGTAATCCTCTTGGCCAGGCCAGGTTGCTATAAACATAACCCCATTCTCCTCTTTATGTGATTTGAAACTAAACAAAACGCAACGCTGGTAGAAAAACCCACTGTCTACAGCCCCTGAGATGAAGACCTATGACTCAGGGCCACTTAGAGCCTGGCTTTCCAAGACCATCTCGCACCTCGTCTCCTATAAATATCTTCTCGCCGTCATGGCTGTGTGTAGCTGACACTCAGGAAAATTGGAGGGGGAAGTTAGATTGCTAAGAGACGAGCCGTCTCCCAGCACCAAATACACGGGCTGTTTTTGTTTTCCTCACCAGTCGGTTTTTGCGTGTTCCGAAGATTCTGGGCCGAGGGTGTGGGCAGGGTTCCAGGGGCCTGAGGAAGGGCCAATGGTGTGAGGGTGCCCTGAAACATGACCATGTTTTGTTTTGCTTTGGTTTTTTTCCCACCCTCATCATTTCTCGTTCCTGCATCCATCTTGCACACAAACATTTGTGACTCGTGGGTGCCCACAAGTGGGGGTGTGGGGTTGGTGGCCTGCTGGCCGGCTGAGGGTAACGGTGTGTCCCCGCCCCGCGCTCTCCTCTCCGCAGAGAACCGGCAGCTTTGGAGGCTTCGACCTGACCAACCGCTCTCTGCACATCGGCAGCCGTCCCACTGACCCCGCGGTGAGTGCTCCCCGCTGGGTGAGTCTCAGAGGAAGGTGGTGGGCGCCGGTGATGCCGAGAGATGTGTCATATTGGGTCTGTTTGAAACCGGAGGGCGGGCCAGGAGCACTGGTGGCACAGTGGGTGAGCGCTCCGCTGCTGACCCAAAGGCTGATGGTTCAGTCACCTGGCCCGCCGCTCTGGGAGCCGGACCCAGAGACACGGGGCTGCCCTGCTCTGCCACACGAGGTGTGGACTGACCTGTACCCACCGGCAGCGAGCTTTGCCTCAGGGCCCCTCAGGGATCCTTAGGCGTCTGGGTCTGCTGGGTCTGCGGTGTCTTGGACTCACCCAGTCTCTTTGGGACAGAGCAGACCAGAGCCCTCAGGGCCACGTGGCCCGCAGCCCAGGGACTGGCCACTCCGCAGACACTTTCTCGGTGCCGAGGAGGTAAGCGGGTTTGACACACACTTTCGTTTTCCCGGGATGCATTTTGCCATGAAGTGGGGGAAACTTAGAGTAGATGCTTTATCTCTGTTATCATCATATGTCAGCTAAAATACCCCCTTGTGTGATATATGGACTTCCTGGAAGACGAAAACACTGTTATTTGGTTATAACATTTTATCGACTCATAGAGCAGTAATTTTATGTAGTGAATCTTTAAAAAGAAGAATGAAAGCATGCTCTTTCCCCCGCCCTTTCCTGAGGAGCCCTGCGGTGATGTGTATGTAAGTCCCAAAGCACCCCCGCAGTTCCGCGGGAGAAAGACAGGGCTTTCTCCTCCCGGCTCAGAAACCGTTTCCAGGGCGGTTCTCCTCTGTCCCCGAGGGCTGTGATGGGTTGGCATCCACTTCATGGAAGGTTATCTTTGTTTTGTTTTGAGGACAAAGTCGCGTGAGCAGTGACCAGCATCTGGCTTGCTCAGAGGAGAAATGTAAACACATTCTTCTCCAAGTGATGACACCGCGTGGTGTTGTCACCGGGTCTCGTCCAGTCTGCTCTGACTCACAGTCATCCCCGCCACCAGCCGCCCCGCAGGGCCGATCCCTGAGCGATAGATCCCTGTGGTTTTCCCTTCTCCAAAGCCGCCCCTCATTCACTGCCGTCCCGGCGGTGCTGACTCACAGCACCCCTGCAGGATGGAGGAGAGCCACCCCCAAGGGTTTCCGAGCCGCAAACAAGCCTCGTTGCTCTCCCACCGTGCTGCTGGTGGTTTCGAACCCCCCACTCTGCAGTTAGCCGCCCAACTCGTAACCACTGCGCCACCAGGGCTCCTAGAGCACCTGTGAGGTGGGTTTGAAGCCCCAGCCGTTAGCCAGCAGCTGAGCGCTTCATGGTTGTGCCACTGGGGCACACGGTGATATCCGCCCAGTCGGGGTTTGGGCTTCTGAAGACCGAGCGGTTGCTGCCTTAGCCTTATCCCTACCCCACTCCCACATGGCTGGATTACCTGCTCTCCTCCGTGTAAGTCACCCTGACTCCTGGAACAGCCCTCTTGGGTTTGGTGGTTGGTTTGTTGTTGTTTTTGATATTCTGTTGTGTTTTGGGTGCAAGTGTACACAATAAGTTTGTTTCCCATTCAATGGTTCACTCACAGATGTCCCACCACACAGGTTACAATCCCCACAGCAGGTCAGCACTCACATTGCCTCCCCACTGACTCCCCGCTTCCATCCCTCCCCTTTCCCTGCCCTGCCCTACAGGCTCCGCTGAGCTTTGGGGCACAGAGTGAGTGCCCTTTGGGCCACTCTGGTGGATTGTTTGAAGGACAATTCACATCGATTATGTATGTTAAGCCGGTCTGTTAGTTGGTGGAAGGTTGACTATCTGGGAATGGCTTCAGTTCCAGGTTAAAAAGGATGTTTTGGGGTCATAGCCTCCGGGGTTCTTCCTGTCTCTATCAGCGGAGTCAGCCTGGTCTTTCCAGGAAGCTGAGTGTAGGTCTGCATTTTCCTCCCACTAAGCAGGACCTCTGTGGCATCCCTTGGTAGAAAGGTCAGTGGAGGGAGCTGGGCACCAACTCGTTCTGCTCTGGGCTAGAAGTGCCCGGCGCTCACGTGGGCTGTTGGGGCTGTGGCTCAGTTGCATGATCCAGTCTTTGCCGTCCCTCACGCTCCAGGAAGAGAGTAATGGTTGTATCGCAGACAGCTCCTCACGAGAGTTTAAGGCCTCAGATGCTACTTGCCGAATGAGGGCGCAGAACATTGCCTTTTGAAACCAAGCTGTGTGCACTGCCCCACAGGGCTTTGGTCCTGAGCTGTTGAACACGGTCAATTAGCCTCTTGTGGTATTTGGATATGTCTGTGCAGCATCCATAACTGTCCTCTGTGTGCTGTTCACACATATGCATATGTGTGCAGACATGCATACACACATCCCCACAAATATACCTAGAAGGGAGGGCTTCAAAGGTGTGGGGTGGGGGGATGGGATGAGAAGATAGTGGAATTCCCCATGACTTTTTTCTGGCCCCTTTCTGTGTGTACATGCCTGTGCACCCATGTCTTCCCAGGCCTATGTGTTTTGCTTGTTTCCACCGTTGTTGCAAACTTTAATTTTATATGCACACGCACACACGCACACGCACACACGCTGTTGTCCTTCATTCTTGTGTTGCTCTCAAGGTCTTCCTTTACCATGGTCAAGTTATTCTGGCTTCCCCCACACCCCTTGGCTGTTTAAGATGGTCTAATGTGTGTGGGAGGGGATATAAAGAGAAAAAGAGACTAAGATTGAATAAAATAAAAAAACGATTTGCACACCCCAGGGACTGGTCTCTCCTGACATGCCCGAAGCCCAGGAGACCACGTCTCGCCACCCTCCCATCTAAGAAGCATTCAGGCTGTACTTCAGGGGGTGTTGAGCTCTGTAGCCAACAGATAAACAACCAAACTAAAGATAGGTGCCAGTGTGGCTGGGGAGGCGGGTGTTGAGGTGATGCAGCCTGCTGCTGGACTTCATCTTCTGTGGTCACCAGCTGCCACTGAGTCCACAGTGCGTCGCGGCGACCCCAGTGTGTGAGTGCAGCACTGTCCTCCAGGGGGGTTTCCAATGGCTGGTCTTCAGCGGTAGACAGGCAGCCCTTTCTGCCAAGTTGCTTCTGTGTGGGCTGAGCCTCCCACCTTCCAGTGAGCAGCCGGGTGCGTCCTGATCCCTTTTCCTCGGGAGCCGTTGACCGTGCTTGATGGTGCCTTTCTGCTGCGTTTCAGGGCAAAGAAGGCGATTTCGTGTACAAAGAAGTGATCAAATCGCCCACAGCCTCCCGCATTTCTCTTGGAAAGAAGGTGAAATCGGTGAAAGAGACAATGAGGAAGAGGATGTCTAAAAAGTACAGCAGCTCTGTCTCCGAGCAGGTATGCAGCTCCCTAGCCCAAAGACGCCTGGGAAGCCGTCAGTCCGTCTGTCTGCGATCCTGTGTGGTGCTAAAGGGACCTGGCATAGCCAAGCTCCGGAGGTTTGCGTTGCTTGTGTTGCCAAATGCTCAGGATAGCGAGTGGTTCCCCCCCAGCCATGCATGCCCCCCAGCCCGGCCCCGGAGGACATTCGTGGCTGTTGGCTTTGTGCAGTGAGTGCTGTAATTCGGACACAGAGCAGGGTGTCCACTCCTCACCTGTCACCTCCTACAAACGGACCTCGGGAGAATCACACCTGGAGGAGGGAGGCCTCTGCTTTCTCCAACTCGCAGCGCTGAGCAGCGATTGCAGGAGCACATGGCCGTCGGAGGGCTTTGAGAGGGGGCCCGGAAGTACTTCTTGCTAAGAGGACTTATTTGAGTTAATCATCTTTTTACAGGGTGTTTCATGAGCCAGTCCCCTCTGGACCGTTGTCAGGGGATTGATTTTTTTCCCCCCTCAAGTTGGAGAATGTCATTACTAGAAACAGCTACTTGTGCCTTCATCGCACGGTGGGGGGAACAGATAGTTGGAGAGGGGGGTGGGGTTGGGGGACAGTTTTGACCATTAGGTTCTCTCACACCACTCTCCTTTGTGCCCTGAGAATACTCTTTGTGGGGCCTCTCTGAGTGAGGGAGGGAGGGAGGGAAGGAGGGAGGGAGTGAGGGAGTGACTGACTGACTGAGTGAGTCAGTGAGTGAGGTCCTGTCCTTTCCTCTACCCTCGCAAAGCCACAGGGAAAGCCCATGTCTGCTCAGCTGCCGCCCTCTGCTGGGCAAATAAGCTAAGTACCAAGCCTGCCTCTGAGAGCCACCAAAGTCCAGTCCAGCTGGGCAGCCAAGTGGCCCCTTCGGTTTATCACAGGGGTTCTTCATGGGGCTGGTGTGCGCCCGCCCAACCCGAGGCCAGGGCCGGAGACACTTGGTAGTCGTGATGACAGGAGAGGAGTGGACACTGGGTCAAGGCCAGGGATGCTTGTCAAGGCATTCCGTAATGCCAGGGGAGCCCCAAAGCACGCCGGGCGTGTGAGGTTGCGAAGGATCGTTTTTCCAGAAATGAGCCTTCTGAGGGGCTTCTCCACAGACCGCCCCCTCGTCCTTCTCATCCACTGTGGCTGTCCGTGCAGGCGAGGTGACCAGTCTGCGTTTCTGCCCCCAGAAGCAGCCATGGTGCCAATGGGGAGCAGCGCCCCCTTGTGGTGGTGGTTGTGAACTGGCTCCCAGCGGCCAGGACGCACAGCAAAACCCGACGCTGCTGCCCAGCCCTCACAGAGCTGTGTTTGAGTCCACTGTGCCAGCCCATCTCGCTGAGGGGCCTTCTCTTCTGCACCAGCCCTCTGCCAAACTCGGCACCCTCTTCCAGGGACCCGCCCCACCTGATAACACGTCCAAAGTGCACGAGACAGAGGTCTTGTCATTCTCATTTTTAAGGATCGTTCTTGGCCGTGCTCCCTCTAAGACGGGGTTGTTTGTTATTCTGGAAGTCCGTGGTGCATTTAACATGAGGAGATGGAAACCCACGTCTTCGATCAGACCTCGGTCTTCAGAGAGTCATCCTTGTGGGGCAGTAGGTCCTTTGATGTCCTGACTGCTGCTTCCCGGAGCGTTGATTGTGGATCCACGTAAGGTGAAATCCTCGACAAGGTTGTCCTTCCCTTCCGCTACCATGATGTTGTCTTCAGTCTGTGAAACTCCTTTGTTTTGTTTGCCTTTCCTGAAGCTAAAAGAGCCACTAAAATCTCCCCATTGACCTAAGTTCCTCCGGGCTTATTGTTGGATAGATCACGATCACAAAATGTTACTGTCACCCCAAATGTTCATCTCCATGTTACTACCAGATAGCAATCTTAGCTTTTTGCTCATTCTGCTTTGGTACTTTCTTTCAATCAATCATTTCGCATCCTTTGAGAAACAGGAATAATTTCTCGTTGTTGCTTTTCTGAGGGCCAACATGCATGCTGTGGGGTTTGGGGGTGAGTTGAATCATCGGTGCAGCCACCATGGTCGGAAAGTCTGTCTGCTCGGTTCCCTGCTATCGTCCAGCCCCTGAGATGGTACCTTTCTAGGTAAACAAACAGGTGCTGAGTCCATGCAAATGATTCCGAGGTTCTGAGGACAGATTCCCCAGAGATGTATATGCCACGCCTCTTTCAGAACTGGGCTTCTCCCCATGAAGCACAGCAATAAGACTTTCATGGCGGAAGTCGCATTTGTTATGATTCTGAAAACCGCAAACTCACAGCCCTCGAACCCATTCCAACTTGTAGTGACCTTCGGCAGGGCTTTTGAGCCTGTGAATCTTTACGGGAGCAGATGGCCTCATATTTCTCTCATGGCCCGACTGGTGGGTTTGAACTGCTGACCTTGCTGAAGGAAAAGGTGCGGTTTTAGTTACTCCTCAGTCTGGTTCAACTCCGCACCCAGTCGTTCGTTGCTTGTGAGGCTGTTCTCTGAGTGTGTTGGGTCGCGCTGCCAGACTTTTGACCTTTTCAGGCCCTTCCCGTGAGGTGCAGCCTGCAAGTAACAGACTCCCTTGAGGTCTGTATTGTTTTATTTTCACAAATAACGTCTTTTACTTGTCTCTCCCCGTTAAAAGTCTGAATGTTGAGCAGATTCTTGAACTAGTGGCTCACAGCGATCAGCCCATTCCACTTACACACCTGCCTCATGTCCAGTCTTACAGACCTGGACAGGTTGCAGGAGGGACAGCCCCAGAGAAGGGCATCATGTTGGGTCAAGTTGAGAGGCCATGACAGAGAGGAAGCCCTCAGGAGGCTGAGGGGCGCGGTGGCTGCAGCAGCAGGCCCAGGCAGAGGAGCCATGGCGAGGACGTGCGGTTCTGCTCGGTCGCGCAGGGTGCTGTGGGCCAGAACCGACTTGATGGCACCTTATAGCTACGGCATCTCCAGTCGCTTTTCCAGAACGACCACCTTCACCACGAGGCTGCATGAGCTTTCCCAGTTCAGACCTGGACTCGGGCCGCATTTTCACGGACAAGCCCCCCTTTCGTTTGTGCTGGGGGCTCACAGGGTTGTGTCACACGCTGGCGGGTTTCCTCCTTTGTCCAGCTACACCTGTCTTGACGTGGGATGCCTTACATTTGGAAGGGTGACATCTGTCCATGGATCACCAAGGGTCACATCAGCATGCTAGGGCCGTGCCTGCAGGCCAGGCGCTGCCTGACGGGGAGGGCAGAGCCGGCTGCCCAGAAAGGGCTGAGCAGAGCACAGTTGCCAGCCTTCTCATGGCCCGCACAGGAAGTGCCAGCCTATTGTGGCACAGGAAGATCTGCCCAGGCTGGGGTGGCTCTAGCTTCTCCATAGAAGTGGCTCCCAAGTTGACCTTTTGTAGCCAGTTCAAGCTGTGTTAAAAGAATCTGTCTCCCTCCAAGCTCAGTTCATTTTTCTCTGAAAGCACTTTGTGATCCTACCAACCCCCAAACAAACACTGCCATCCAATCTGTTCGGACTCATAGCAACCCTATAGGCCGAGCAGAACTGCCCAGTGGGTTTCGGAGATGGTCAGCCTTTGTGGGAACAGAGACCCCGCCCGGGGTTTGGGAGGTACAGTGACCCACTGCCATTTGAAGTCCAGCCTCAGTGCTGCAGAGAAATATTTCTCAAGTAGGAAGGTTGGGTTTTCAAGAACATCCGTTTGAGTAGGACAAATTGCCTTTACCCCAGTAGGCAGTCTCCTGGACCACACCTCTATGCTTGGATGAAGACGTGGAAAAAGAGGAAGGAGTGGCACTGGGTCTGCAAATGGAGTTGATGGAGTTAGCCGGGATTCCCCAGGGACCAGGAGAGTTGAGCCCTAGGACCCAGAGCCAGGTGGTCTTCTCGGAGACTTTCAGCCACAGCAACGCCGTGCCGAGAATGATAAAAAGACACCTGTGTGGCTGTCCCGCCCCCCACGCAACTTCACTGTGTTGACCCTGTTTCAGGACTCTGGCCTGGAAGGGATGGCGGGCTCCCCGCCGACGTCGCAGCCCGACTCGGAGCGCACGGACAAGCCCAAGCTCAAGGCCGGCGGCTCCGTGGAGAGCCTGCGGAGCTCGCTCAGTGGGCAGAGTTCCATGAGTAAGTTCCGTCTGTGGCTCTGGGGGGTCTCCATGGGCATGAGGGGCCCACTGGGTGAACAGGTGTGTGTGTGTGTGTGGGCGATGCTGGGTACCCTGGGGGCTGCTGGGTATCCTGAGCCGCAGATGTCTGGGCTGGGGGCATACTTGTTTAGTGTGCTGGGGGCCTGAGGAAGAGCTGTGTGCCGTGACTGGGGAGAGGGGAAAAGCACTTAGAAGTATCTGGAAAATCGACCAAGGCATATGAAGTTGGCTAACAGAATAAGGGTTGGCTTCATGGAGGAAGTGGCGGGTGGGGCTGGGGGCGGGGTGGGGGGTGGGGATGCACAGTAGCCATGGACCTGATGTTGATGCTCGGTCGTCGCAGTGGAGTTGTGCCTTCTGGGGTTGCCCGTGAGCCCTTGGGTGGGGCTAGAGTTGCCAGGCCTTGCTTCCAAGGTGCCACTGGGTGAACTTCACCTTGGGCTTTTTGAGGGAGGAGCCCAGTGCATTGGCCATTGGCACCAACCAGGGACTCTGGGAAGAAGGGCAGGGAGTCCCGTATGTCACTGGTCACGCATCCTGCTCCCCTGCTCCTCGGCCGGTGATGGTGTTGACCAACTAACTAGTCGGGGGAGGAGACCACCTTTCCAACTGACCTCCTTTGGCTCTTGGCCGTGGGCAAGCCACCTGCCCTCTCTGGGTGTGATTCCTCATCCACACAATGGAGTCACGATAGTGTGCTGCACGGGCATGGGTGTGGGCGGTGCCCATGGTGCCTGCATGAGGGTGTCTTCTGTGGTCTGGCGTCCAGGCCATCACGAGAGCATGGGTTGAGCCCCCTCTCCTGCTGGGGGAACGATGGGGGCCACCAGTCAGTATATGGGGGGGGGTCCCCCAGGCCTAGCGTCTGGTTCCTGGCTGGCCTCCTCCCAGCCTGCTCTCCTCACCCATGTGAGCTCCCTGTTACTCAACTCTACTCACCCGGCCTCTTCCCCTTCTCTCCCGCACAGGTGGCCAGACAGTCAGTACCACGGATTCCTCCACCAGCAACAGAGAAAGCGTCAAGTCGGAAGACGGCGAGGATGAGGAGCCCCCCTACCGGGGCCCCTTCTGTGGCCGTGCCCGCGTGCACACCGACTTCACACCCAGCCCCTACGACACAGACTCGCTCAAGCTCAAGGTGCGTGGCACTGTCCGCCCAGCGGGAAGCCCACATGGCGGGGGGCAGGGGGAGGTCCTCCCAGGGGAGGTCCTCATCTGTGTCAGCCTCTGTGGTCTTCACTGTGCACCATGGAGCCCATTCAGACCCAGGTGTCCCTGTAGGACCAAGTAGAACTGCCCCATAGGTTGTATCCAGGCGTCAGATCGCCTCGTCTTGTCCCTCTGAAAGGCCAGGGGTGCCCACGGCCAGCATCTTGATTAACAGCCGGGACCACTGCTCCAGCAGGGTCCTAAACCCACTGCCATGACGTTACTTCCCTCCAGGGGTTAGCAGTCCAGCGCTTACCCCACGGCCCCACCAGGCCTCTTTCCATTACCTTCCAGTAACCGTAGTCCTGGGGCTCCTGGACGTGGGGCCCATCTGCCTCTGTGGCCCACAGGTAGCTTCAGTTCTGGGCCTCCACCCCTCCATCCAGGCCCATTCCTGTGGCTCAGCTGCCCCGGCCAAGTAGGGGACACACTACACTGGTCAGGTCTCAGTAGCCAAGAGAGCCCGTTCCCCCCTGGGGCAGCAGCAGTCACAGGAATAGGGGTGAGGCTTCCAGCACAGGGTTGGGGAGGCTCTGATCCAGCTGGCCATATGTCTCTCCCTGGTTCTGAGCGGCCTCTGCGCCTGGACACTTCATGTCTTCACGAGGTTTTCATTTTCCCACCACCGAGTGGTGGCCTACGTTGGACATTGCCTTTGGCCACCTTGATGGACTGGGCTCTGTGGTGCCCAAACACCAACCGCGGACCAGGCGGCATGCAAGGCCGAGGAGGGTCTGGGACGGCTCCCTGTGCTACCAGCCCCCCCCCCTCCCCTCGGGGTTCCCCTCTAGAAGCTTTGTTGCCACCCCAGCCCAGCCCTTACTGTGCGCTCCTCATGTAAGGACTCGCTCCTGCCTCTGTGCCCCCTAGTGTTCACGTGGAGCCACACAGGTACCATTTGATCCACTGCAAGGCTTTCCTCCAAGAACCCAGGGCCATCTCTGAATGATGGAGGGCATCCCGGGGGCCAGCTGACTTAGTCCAGGTGCATCTCAGGCTGACCTCATCCTGGTTCAGGAGGAAGGAGAGACTGGCCCGAGGGGCCACGTGGAACCAGCACCATTACACGTGTCCCAGCCTAGCCCTTGTTGAGCTCCTGTCATATTTTATGTTCCTGGCTCAGGCTCAGAAAGGGGACTTCCCTCTGGCTCTGGTCCCTGGAGTGATGCCCCATCTGGGAAGTTTGCGCACCGGGGTGGCCTGTGCTTAGCAGCATGCCTAACGGAGAGGTTTCTGTCCCCTCGGCCGCAGAAAGGCGATGTCATCGACATCATCAGCAAACCCCCCATGGGGACGTGGATGGGCCTGCTGAACAACAAGGTGGGCACGTTCAAGTTCATCTACGTGGACGTGCTGACCGAGGAAGACGAGAAGCCCAAGCGTCCCACCCGGAGAAGGCGGAAAGGACGACCCCCGCAGCCCAAGTCTGTGGAAGACCTGCTGGACCGTATCAACCTGAAGGTCAGTTACTGCCCCTCTCAGAGCAGGCTGGCAGCGGGAGGGGCGGGCCTCTGCCATGCACTAGGGTGGCCCATGACTAGGAGACATAGCCAGGCTTGGGAAGAAACCGTCTTTGTGGTCAGTGGCCTTTGAGGCAGCTCTGATTTGTGGGGACCCCATGTATAGCACACAGTGCTCCCGGGTACCCCCCATCTTCATGCTTGATGACCCTGTGGGGTCATCCGGCTCATTGAAGGCTTCCCTAGTTCTGATTCACTCCACATTTCAACAGACACGATGTCCTTCTCTAGCAAAGGGGCTCTCTTGACAACGTGCGTGAAGAAAGTGGGTCCACAACTCCCAGTCCTTGCTCCAAGTCACCCCCAAGACAGCTCTGCTCACTCTCTGCCAATCCATGGGTGCTGTGTTGTCTCACGTTCTCACCTAAGTAATGTGTGCGCGCGCACACACACACACGCACACACACACACACACACACACGGTGCACACTACACAGAGGAAATGAATGCATGCAGGGGTTGCACAGTGTGCCCCAAACTTGTAACATGCATGCTATCTCTCTCTGTGTTTTTTTAAGTAATTTTATTGGGGCTCTCAGAGCTCTTATCACACTCCATACACCGATCTGTTGTGTCAAGCACATTTGTACATATGTTGCCATCATTTTCAAAACATTTTCTTTCTACTTGAGTCCTTGGTATCAGCTCATTTCCTCCCCCCTCCCTCATGAACCCTTGATCCTTTATACATTATTGTTTTTTTCATGTCTTACACCCACAGAAAAGTGGATGGAGACAGTGGTCGGTGTGTGTTTTTTGAAAGCCATCAACTCTCCTTTGGCCTTCCTTTCTCACTACCGGGCCTTGGCAGGCATCTGAGGCCTTTGAGGAGACCACGGCTTGGGGCAGGCACACTCTGGTCATGAAAGCTGGCCCGGTACCAGCGCTCTCATGCTGGTTGTGACCTTGCTCCGCCACTGGCGTCGACCCCAGTCACAAGTCACTTGGGGTCCAAAGAGCAGCCTTGAATGAGCTATGCGCGCTGCCCTGCACCCAGGATGAACTTTGAGCAAAAGCCCCTGGTGCCTTGCTCGCTGCCAGCTGAGCAGGCAACAGGCCACCTCCACAGGGGCTGTGAGAACTCTTCCCCCAGGCTCTCTCTCCCAGGATCCACTCACGTGCTTCTACAGAGGTGGACTCTGTCCTCCTGTCAGAAAGGAGAGCACGTAGGCCTCCACAGGTGACGTGCTGCATGATAGCAGTTGGCTCATACCAGGGGCCTCCGCACCAGGCAAGCCAGTGGCAGCCGGCCCTTGTCTTCTCACCCCAGGTCACTGAGACACCCCATCTGCCTCCCTGGTCCTTCCTGCTCTTCCCAAACGACGCCCTGCCATACAGTGCATGCTGACTCGGAGCGACCCTGTAGGACAGGGCAGAACTGCCCTGTGAGTGTCTGGGACTGTGATGCTTTATGAGAGTAGAAAGCCCCATTTTTTTGCCGTGGAGCAGCTGGTGATTTTGAACTGCTGACCTGGTAGTTAGTTAGTTAGCAGCCCAGCTACTAACCACTGTGCCCCTGGGGGCTCCTTCCTCCTCCTCTCAGATGAACATAGAGAAGAAAGGGAGGGAGCTTAGGGCTCCAGGCTGGTTCTTGGTCCCCCATGACAAGGCACTGACTTCTGGTGGCTTTCCCTTTCAGGAGCACATGCCCACCTTCCTGTTCAATGGGTATGAAGATTTGGACACCTTCAAGCTCCTGGAGGAGGAAGACCTGGACGAGCTAAACATCAGAGACCCGGAGCACAGAGCCGTGCTACTGACAGCAGTGGAGCTGCTGCAGGAGTGTGACAGTAAGTGGCCCCTCACACAGGCCGGGCGGTGGTAGCCTGCCGCCAGGGAGCCGCCAGCACACGCTAGGGTGGGAGAGCCATGTGCTTGGCCCCAGGACCGTTTCAGAATGAGTGCTGTCACACAGACTCAGAACGAGATGGAGACATTCCAGCAGACACAGTCCTGTGAACGTGGGGCCCGAACAAGCAGACCCCTCGTAACCACACCATACCTTTCTTGGCCCGTTTCTCGTAGATCAGAGGTTGGCTGGCTTCTGAGACGGAAGAGGCAGCCCTCTCCCTCACAACAACTTAAAAGTTACTTGAGGGCCACAAATAGATATTCACAAAAATCGAATTCGCACGATCTGGATAATATCCTTTAAAACTCGTCCATTTTACCTTGAAGCCTCGTGTTCACACTGAAAGAGCTGCATTGGGCTTAAGAGCTGCAGTTTGCCAACCGGTGTTCTAGATGGAACACTGGGGTGAGGAAAGCACAGCCCAGTGCCCGAGAATACCGGATTATCCTTAACGAAATATGGTAGACACTACAGGTACTGTAGGGTTGGGTAGCCTCAACAGGCCATCAGGATCCCTGGATGCAGAAGTGCGCCTTGCCCAGCCGAGGGTGAATTCGTCCCCATGGCCCAAGAGGAGCCGTCTCCTCATTGAGCAGGGCAACGAGTGAGTCACGGAATGTATCACCTGCTGTGGAGCCAGAAGAGAGCATCCACAGTGAGCATGCTCAGTGCCGGGCCTCACACTGGCCTGTGCTGATCCCCACCCCAGCGGGGAGCTCACTGCCACCGCCCACAGAGCAAAGCCAGGGAGCTTAGCTGTCGGATCACACGGCGGCCTGTTTGGCCCCATCAGGCCTGGCCGATCTTACCCTTTATTCTTCATTATGAATGTGCTGTCTACTCTTCGAAGCACACTCCTCATCTCTCTCCCTCGGAGGTGCTCGTGGTTTTGAAGTGCTAACTTGGCAGGCCTCCACTCACCTGGTTACGGACTCCACCACCAGGGCCCCTTCATGAAGAGGACACACAACCTCTTTTTACCCGCGTGGAGGTGGGGTGTTGAAAGATTCATGCGGCCTCCCACCTGGTTGGGAAACATCTGACCTTCCTCTTTAAAGAGGGTCTGTAGCAAAAGACGCACAATTTCCCATCATCACCTTTCAGCGTTTTTTATGACCGTTTTCAGGTGTTAAGAAAACAGATGGCGTTGAGTGGGTTCTCCCTCTTGACAGCCGTGGGAGTGTCAGGGTAGAACTGTGGACTTTCAAAGTAGCAGGTTGGCTCAAGCCTTGAACCTGTTGGCGAGCAGCGGAGTGATTAATCAGCTGCACCACTCGGTTTAAATGCTGGGTGCCAGCAAGATGACTGTGGTTCATGGCAACCCTATGTTGGAGACCTGCCCCCACAGGCCCCATATTGTTTTGGGGTGGGGTTGGGGCTGTGATCATTAGAGAAGCAGAGCCCCAGGTCTTTTAGCTGCAGAGCTACTAAGTGGGTTTGAACTGCCAGCCTTTCAGTTAGCAGCCAAGCCCTCAACTATTGCATCACCACGGTGCCTGCTTCCAAATTAGAGCAAGTTTTTCTCTTTTTGGCCCTTGTGCACAGGAAATAGATGTTGGCCCAAGACAAACGGAGAAGGTTGCCTGCCTCCACCCCTCACCCCCCCAAAGATAGAGAACGCTCTCAAACCTGCTGAACAACAAAAGCAAGCTACGCCCTGGTCCCAGTTGGGTGGGGAGGCTGGGCCTCCTCTGCCAGCCTTCCTCCTGCTGAGACAAGGCCAGCGCCAGCCTGTGTCTGCGGGGCAATGCCTGCTCCTTTGTGAAAATAAAGCACGAAACGTCAGGGCACACATTTATATTGCTCCAAAATGTGGGGAGCCGGTGATGCAAGTCACTGCACCACTTGTCTCCTGGATGTCTGAAGCACATGGGCCTGACCCCACCCGGGGGCTTCACCACACAGGCAAGCCAGAGCCACCGTCCGGGGCACCCGGCTCTTCCCTCTGCTTACCTCCGAGCCCACAGCTGCCCTAGTGTGGGCAGCATAAAAGGCCTGGGCATATCCCAACTCCGGACTCCCTCTCTCTCCAAATCTGTATGTCATGTTTTGCCTGAAGCAAAACCCAAGCAAAACGTTACAGCTTCACTAGCTCGTTTCGACCCCATGGAACGGGCTGGACTCTTTTGAAAGCCCAAGGCTGTAGCGGAGGTGACAATCGGGCTCTGGCTGACCTGGAAGCTCTGCCTTCTCTCCACTCATGGCCCCCTGCCCTTTGTCCACCTTTTCTAGGTAACAGCGACCAGTCGGGATCCCAGGAGAAGCTACTCGTGGACAGCCAGGGCCTGAGCGGATGCTCCCCAAGAGACTCGGGGTGCTTCGAGAGCAGCGAGAACCTGGAGCACGGTAATGGTGAGGCTGGCGCCAAGCCGCTCGGCTCCTCCCTGCCTGCCCTCTGCACTGGGCTCCCGGCCTCGGCATGAGCCCTGGCTTTGTGGGGACAGGGGGGTTGCAGGAGTCCTTCCCCCTAGCCATTTATCTTCTTTTTATTTTATATAGTTTTAAAGAGCATTTTGCTGTGGTTTGGGTGAAAGTTAGCAGAGCATCTCCGTGTCACAGGCGACAGTTGCATTTTGCTTCATGAGCTTAGTGGCCGCCCCCTCAGTGTCACAGCCCGCCCCCACTCCCCATTTCCACCCTGCCTTCTTCCTGCCCCTTCCAAACTTCTGGACTCTGTTTTAGACACACGGCTCTTCTGGTCTCTCGTGGTGGGCTGCTCTGAGGGGCCGGTTCCTCCCTGGGAACCCTGTTTCCGTTCAGGCCTGCCTGTGGTTCAGCTGCACAGTGACCTGTGGGGTGGGCTCAGTTCTAAATGGGAAAGATGGCCAAGGGCCACCCCCCTCCCCCACAACTAAGTCTGGCCTCTCTTTTATGATTTGGGATTTTATTCTACCTCTTCCCCACTACTCTGCCCAGGGCCTTGTCCTGCGTCCTGATCAGAGGTCGGTCGTGGTAGCTGGCCACCATCTGGCTCTTTGGGTCTCTGGCTCGTGGGGCGTGGCTGGCTTGGGTTTATCGGAACGCTTGTGCTTAAGTGGGAGATTCAAGAAGGAGTAAGATCCCCGGGGAAGCTTGGTGTTTTCTTGGGTATGAATTTATACAGCAGTCACCTGACCTGCCCCTCCACTCATCTGACTCTGTGGAAAAATGAAAGAATTTAATCCCACACTAATGAATCAGGGCCGGGAGGCCCCAAGTTCTCTGGGAAATCCTGAAGGTAACGTAAAGTCTTCACCCCCCATGTGGATCATGACGAGAGCCAGGAGTTAGAGGGGCCAGCATGGTGCGTGAACCCGGAGTAGGACACTGAGAAGCAGACTGACCGACTTACACCATGGCTCCAACCAGCCGGCACTTCTCTTTTATAGCTTATCCCCCAAACTAAAACTTAATGATGGAATTCTCATTCCTGGCCTCCGTTGCATGGACACTCAAGGTCGGAAAGGCTTGATAATGACCTTTTCCTATTTCTTGTGGTTCGAGTCTCTCACGTGGCACCAGTCAGGCTCACCCTCAACGCCCGGTGACCGGTAGGCAGTGTTTTGTCATCATTGTGGTGGGTTCCCTGGACTGGTTCTGACGCACCGTGACCTGGCCTCACTGCATGGAGCACGGCCTGGTGCTGCACCATCCTCACACCTGGTTCTCTGTGGCCCCTGTTGGCAGCCCATGTCCGTCATCTTGTTGAGGGCCTCCTTTTCCACTGACCCTCTGCTACCTCGAGCACGCTATCCATCTCCAAGCTGCGATCCATCCTAGTCACGTGATCAGAGAAGAGAGAAGCAGCCTCCCCTTCTCATCGCTGAGGAGTCTGTTGGCTGTGCTGCTCCCAAGACAGATGCGTCCATTCTCCGGAAAGTCTGCGGCATCGTCAGTATCCCTTGCCAACAGCACGCTACAGACGCATCCTCCCCTGGGCCCATCCTCCGCATCGCCCAGCTTTGGCGGACCTACCAGGGGATCTGACTTGGATCCACTGTCAATGCCTGTATTAGTCTGGGTCCTTTAGAGAAACAAATCCACAGAAACGCATGCATAAGAGAGAGTTTTATATAAAGGTCAAGTGCACATCAAGAAAACATCCCAACCCAGTGCTGCCCAAGTCCACCATTAATCCATATGCCCGACACCAATCTCCAAAGTCCTCCATCTCAGAAAACACACACT